TTTCTACTTATTTTGTCATGAAAAAAATGAAACAGCATCGACAGCATCGGACAACAGGAAAGAACAAACAAGAAAAGGTTAAATTTAGTAATGAGGGTAGTGAGATAAAATCTCACGATATGCACGTATGTTTCAAACAATTCAGCAGACAGCAACTCCTTATGTTCAAAATAGGCTGTTATACGTTGAAAATTTCAAAAAACAAACCGCTTACTTCGTTTCTTGTAGGCTTCCTTCTCTGTAGGTTCTGTCTTGGCTTCAACAATACCAAATTTCTTCAAAACCTCTGCGGACAACAAATTTATATCGCAGAGGCTCAAAAGTTGCGTGAGGGCACGTTTTCTGAGTTCAGATAAATCAACGTAGACTAAGTATTTGAAAGATAGAAATGCGGCCAACTCACCTGGGTATCGTATAATCATCAAGCACTTCTGATCCAATGATCGATTCCACTAGACCCTCAAGGCGTTGTCCAGGTTTCAAATGACCTATAATAAGTTTGGTTCGCATGTGTATAGCAGGGTGAGTGAGAGATAAAATGGCTATATTATAGCAGGTATAGGAGATATAATGCTGTTATACGAACTGATAGTGATCTCAGCTGTGTAGTTCTCAATATGAGTAATTCAACTGTAAAATTAACCTTGTTTTCTTTCAGCTTTGCCGAATGCTGTATCGCCTTCTTCTTCCCCTTTACACTCCTGATTCGCTTCCTTTCTTCTTTTCGGTAATATCGTCGGTTCCTCTGTCACTACCACATCCCTTGCGCGATTAACCCCTCTCTTCTGTGGCAGTCTGACTTCCAACGTGTCCAACATTTTTTGCCTGCGTTTCTTTTTCTGAATCTTAGACCTCTGGCGAGGCCCCGGCCGTTTTTTCGGGAATGTTCCGTTACCATGAGGAGGCATTGTTATCTGGACAGCACGTGGCGGCGTTCTTTCTCGTAGTCGTCGCTCCATTCGCATCAACTCTTCTTCTCGACGGGTCAATTCCATTTCGCGCCTTCTAAGATATTCTCGTTCTCGCTCCAGGCTTGATTGTTCAACAGCATCAATTCGAGGTGGATAGCTTGACAATGGGATTCTAGCAGACGGATATGCTTCTTCATATGTTCTCCGTTCTCTTCGTGAACCACGGTATTCCGGACTTCGACTGCCCTAAAGCAGGCAAACAATTGTTATAAATACGAAGTCCGCAGCTAGCATGCTGCTAACCCAATTGAGCTTCGTAATTCTTCTGGGCGACAAAAATAGAAAAGTTTCGCTATCTAAGCGGCAAAGGTAGACAGCAATACTCGAGCAACGTTAGACAGATATCGACAATTTACTACGTCGATGTAATCTGTCGTTGCTCTGCCGATTCCGTTTCTCTTCACAGCTATCGTAAGTGATAATTTCGGCAGATCATTTACAGCAACACAACGGCCTTCACAGAAGCCGCACTCGCTTAGTGAGTTCCATTAAACACAAGATCAACAAGATCCTAATTTGTCGGGAGAGGGGTGAAAGTGAGAGACAATGGTGTGCAGCTTGGTAGAATGAATAAAGGATGCTAACCAACTTACGCTGTCTCACATGAACAATAGTCAAGAAATTAAATGATTGCAAACGTGAAGTATCATGGATATTAATGCCAAAAAAATCGAAGTGAACCTACAAGAGATACTAATTGGATGAGCTAGCGGCAAAAGCGTAGAGTTCAAAAGAACAAAATTTCTACGATTAAAACACTGAAACTGAGATTCCCCGATTAAAAAGCATGTGAGGTGAGTGCATACATAGTATTTTCCAAACATCAATTTTAGTAGAAAGTTTTTGTGGTCATCGTCACAGTAATCTCAGTTTCTAA